AAAAAAAACTTCAGAGGACTTCAAAGTGATTTTGCACCAGTCTAAGGGTTCCGGGTTCTTATTTTCAAATGATTATTAGATTGAAGTCTAAATAATTCATTTCGAGGCCATACGATCCACCTGTAAACTTTCGCCCACTACAGTACTACAGTACCCAAGCATGCTTGGTCCGCTAGGAAAGTGCACGGTACTGGGCGAGATTTAAAGTTGCTTTCCCCTCCACAAATGAAATATATCGGAGGTCAAAGATCCAGATTCCTCAGTTGTGAAACTTTTCTTAAAACCATCTTTGAACAAAATTTTTGTTCTCTAAAAACTTAACAAAGAATCAAAAACTCGGAAAATTCTGGCACAAGAATTTTTTTATTTTAATCTTGGAGGAGTCTACGGCTAAAAAAGTGTTGAATGGTCCGGAATTTCTTCAGGTGAATCAACCAACCTTCGCAAACTTCACATGATGACCATCAATTTGTTTACGACTTTTTGTAACTAGGCCATCAATGTCCATAAGATAAATGTTTGCACATGCTGCTTCTTCACTAGCGCCTTCGTCTACCATCTGTCGAACACATAACTCAGCTATACCGGTGGATGCCTATAATTTTGGCCATTCTTCAAAAACTTCCGGAATCCTAACTTACAGCTCCAGCGCCGAAGAACACAAGTTTGTGGTCTTTCAGGGGTTTCTTTGTGACTCGGGTAGCCGTGAGAAGACCGGCAACGACGACAGCGGCGGTTCCTTGAATGTACAAAGATTCTTTCAAATCATAAAAAATTTCGGCAGCATGCAATAAAATTAGAATTACCTTGTATGTCATCGTTGAAAGTACAATAAACGTTCCTGTATTTGTCCAGAAGTCGGAAAGCATTTTGGTTGGCGAAGTCTTCGAACTGGATCAGTGTGTCCCTGCCGTACCTGGAACAGAGACTCATAAAAAATATTTTTTTGAGAATTTTCTAAAAAACTAACTTCTTGGTGCAAGCTTTCATAAAATTGTCCAAAAGCCTATCGTATTCTTCTCCACGCACTCGTTTTCGTCTCAAACCAGTGTAGAACGGATCATTTAGCAAACTCTGAAAAAAATTTAATTGGCTTTTTGCCCACCCCTGCCCACGTAACTCT